CAGGCCCGAGCGGCGCGGGTCGGGCGGGGTCTCCTTGGGCGCCGGCCCCGAGCGACAAGATGTCCGGCGCGAAAAAGAAGCCGGAAGTCCCGCCCCAGCGCCGCCGCAGACCGGAAGCGTGCCGCGCAGGGGCTTCTGGGGATTGTAGTTGCCCGCGGACTCGGCCACGTGGCGCCGCTGGGGCGCCGTCGAGCCTCCGACGGCCAGCGTGGGGCCCGGCGCCTCGTGGGGAGCTCCCCCTGGGTTCGGGCCTGCAGATACAGCCGCGTATTAGTAGGCACCTGGGGGGTGGGGCGAAGCGAGGGTGAAGTGGGTTGCTGAGATGTAGCTGATGGTTAAGGGTCTGTGATCATCGCGCCCGAGTATGTATATGTGTGTGTGCATGAGAGAGAGTATAATATGTATAAAACAGCTTAAATATCCTCATAGAAATGAAAAAAAAGTTAATAAACTGTCTTTGCTTTAAAAAAAAAAGGAAATGACAAAAATACAGCAAGAAACCTGTGCACCAAATTATGGTTTTAAACAAAAAATATTTTTCCAGTGACATTAAATTTGATATAACTGTTTTCCACATTAACTAATAAAAAATTAAAACCAAAATATCAACACATATATTTTGAATAAAACCAGTTATTTCAAATTTGGAAGTCTATACATTGTTTCTAAAATCTCGTCAAGGAAATTATATGTGGCCGAATTGGTGTCCGGATAAAGAACTTACTTTCCCGGTTCCGACCCAGGAACGACCAGGTCATCCTCCCAGGTTGCTCAGCGCGAGTTTGCTCTCCTTTTTAATTTTGAAAGCTCCGATCCCGGCGCTCATGAGCAGTGACTTCAGAGATGGGCGTGATCAGGCCCCTGCTGGGGGCCCGACTCTGCGCCCACAGAGTCAAAACCCAGAGATTGGTGAGCTGACCTGGCCGTTCTGTAAAGAACAGCTGGTGGATCACAGTAACCACGCAAAAAGCCACTCCAGAAAACCCACTCTGCCCCGCGGGGGTTTGCGGGGCCGCTGGGGTTGCAGCGCCCTCCTGTGGCAGCACCACTGGGCCTGGAGGGACAAGGCTGGCGGCTTCCAACCCCGCGGGAGCACACCAGGCCTTCTGTGAGCCAGCTGGTCCCACTGGAGCTGCGGAAACCCAGGGCTCCGTTCTGCCTGAGCACCTCGGGCAGGAAAAGGGGTCCCCGCTCTTGAAGTGTGCAGGCGCTCAGGTCAGGCCAGAGTGGGTGGGGACACGCTAGACCAGGCCAGACGCCACACGGAACAGGAGGAAGCGTCTTGGGAGAGGCATTCCAGGGCAGATGTTGGAGAGGGAACGGAGAAGGCCACCCCCTGACACAGCTGCTTGCTCAGAAGAGCTAGGAAGGCCAGGCCTTACCTTTCCGCCTCAGCGCACCCAGAGGCAGGGAGCTGCCGACCACCACCCAATGTGCGTCTGTTCCCAGCGTGTGAAAACAGATATGCTGTCCTTGCAAACATCCATTTGTTTAAAGATTTACCTTTTTTATTTTTGCTCACAAGGACTGGGGTACAGGACAGAGTTGTGAGAGTGAGAGGGTTCACCTGAACAAGAGTGGGGACTAGAACAGGCAGAGTCACTGAGACCCACAGCTGAGGGGGCAGCGGGGAGACAGGAGAGGGTCTGCTGTGTCCTGGGGTCCCTGTCTGGCCAGGGATGGACTCCGGCCGCCGTGGCCGGGACAGCTTCATAGCGCTGAGACTCACCCTGCGCCTCAGGGAGGGCCCAGATGCCTGCTTTTAAACAATAAAGAAACCACAGTGCATCTGAATAAACAGGAAAACGATCCACTCCAAGAAAAAAATTGGCAGCAAGCATCCTGAGAAAGCGGATATGAGACCTACCAACGAGGTTACAAAGCATACGTCTAAGTACGTCCAAACAGATAAAGGCGTGGGCACGCACGACAGCATTTACAGCACGCTCATGTCCAAAGAAATCGGAATTGAAAGAAATCAGTAAACCAAATGCAGGGCTCAAAAACAACTAAATGGAACATTTAATGAGCGGCACGTCCCCAAATGTGAGAAAACACAGGAGCCCCGGCGCCAGCGGGCAGAGAAACCACATCTGCATCGCCAGGCCCACAGCAGGCCACGCGGTGCTCTCGGGCACAGCACAGCGAGGCGGCTTCCAGCCGGGGACAGCCGCGCCCGGCACACCCTCAGCACACCTGGAGTCTGGATTCATTTCCGGTTTCCTATTTGTATTTCCAGGCCAGCTGACCGGCTGTCACCGGCCCGGACGGGACCGGGGCGCCGCGGGGCTTCACGCCAGGGCGGGCGCGCCCGTGGAGGGCCCTTGAGCGCGGGCCACGCCCCGATGCGTCCGCAGGTGCCGGTGGAAGGTGCCCGACTGGCGGTAGCTGCGCCGGCAGAGGCTGCACACGTAGGGCTTCGCTCCCGAGTGGATGCGCTCGTGGGCCAGGAGGTTGGTCTTGTGGCCGAAGGCCTTGCCGCAGGCGCCGCACCGGAACGGCCTCTCGCCCGCGTGGATGCGCTGGTGCACGCGCAGGTCCGACGGCCGGAAGAAGCCTTTGCCGCACTCGAGGCACGCGAACGGCCGCTCGTCCCTGTGTCTTCTCTCGTGGGCTTGGAACCGAGAGAAGTACTTGAAGGCCTTGGGGCACAACTCACACCTGAATGACCCGCCGGGCGCGGGGGCAGCTTCTGCCCCCGGGCGGGAGCAGCCCTCAGTGTCCCGGAGGGTGGGAGCACGCTCTGAGCAAACCCCTGGGCCAGGGCTGGGGTGAGGCTCCGGCCCCGCCTCCGCGGGGGCGTCTGAAGAGCGCAGCGCCTGTGGGGACCCTCCCTGGGCACTGGAGGGGCCCAGACCTGCCCTCGGGGAGCTGAGGGGGCTCCCCGAAGAAGTGCCTCCTCCTTCGGGTCCTGGCCAGATGTCCTCTCTGATGATGATGAGGGAGGGTATGTCACCGCCTTGTCTAGCGACACCATCATTCCCGGGGCCAGCCGGCAAAGGAGCGTCCACATCACCTTCTCCGCCATCACGTCCTGGGGGAAATGGCAACGCGACTATGGAAGAGCTGTCGGCCTCACAGGCTGGTGCCTGAACCCACCACACTCACCATGTCCACGGCCCAGCGAGGCGTCAGGGGGCTCACAGGAAGGCACCTCCACGCCCCCTCCAGCTGCGGTTCCCACTGACAGCTGTTTCCTGAGATGGGCGATGACCTCCCTCAAGGGCATGTTCTCTGAGAAGAGCGCCTCTTGCCCCTGCATGCGGATGTGCACCTGAAAGGAAACAGTGGCCTGAGCAGGTGGCTGGTTCACCCCGCGAGATGGACTTCCCCGCGGGTGCAGTTTTCTTCTAGTATATCTTTGCTTGCGGTAAATATCATGTCGTCACTGGCACTCTAAGCGACACAGATTGTGTTCCCCAATCAGAAAAGGCAGATTTAAGGCTTTCTGAGGCAAGAACGAGCACTTGCCAAAGCAGTCCTCCTCTCCTGAGGGTCCTCCACGTGGGCCAGCCCCCCCCCAGCAAATCAGCTGGCTCCCCGACACTGAACAGAGGCCTGAAGCTCCCTCTGGTTTTCCAGGGAGCTGCAATCTCTCCTAGCAAGGAAGAGGCCCTCTACCGACTGCTGGCAAGGACCTCTCCGAGGGGGCTTCTCTCGCTTTTTGCCCGTTTTGTTCCTCCCCAGGGCCCCGCCTGTACTCACCAAGCCTGGAGGCTGCATGGGGCCGTCGCTCAGGCCGTCCATAAATTTCTGCAGGTTTTTGCCACTTGCTTCCCACCTCGCCCACAGGGCAGACCTGTCACTGCCGTGCCTGTTGAGCATAAACTGCTCCAGGACCACCTGGCAGATCATCTCCTCCTTGCTGTGTCGCTCTGGCTGCAGCCACGAGTGAAATGCCTGATGCAGTCTCTGAAGCTCCTGCCTCGCAGGCAAGTCATTGCCACATGGCAACACGCTGGCCAGAGTATTGGGGGGCGCAGACTCTAGCTTCTGGGGCGCAGACCTGCAGTGGGGATCGCGGTGCGTACTGTCCCGCCTGAGCTTGTCCCTGGGTGTTGCACCGAGAAACGGGGTGCTGAGCTCTACGTCCATACTGAGCCGTGTTTCCCAGATGTCCCCTCCAAGACACTCCTGTGCGTGCGGGAATCTGGAAGCAAAAACGTAGGTCAGCAAGTGATGTTAAGGTATCGGCTGGTACTGTTTCACCGGCTTCTAGCCAAGTGCCACGTAGGCCTGACACTAGAGGCTGTCCAGAGACGTGAACTAGAACTAGGATCACCACGTGCTAAGCACCATCTTTGGAGAATTCGAAAACGTCCATTTTCAGAACAAGATTTCGTCACAGGTGACAATACAGGATGCGTGAGAAATAAATCACTGCAATCTGACAGTCTTTGCTGCCCAAACAGGTCGTAGAGTTCTGTGAAAGCGTAATAATTGCGATGGTGTCACAGTGGAACAGAGACGAATGGAACGAGACCAGGGTCCCAGGGCGCCTGGGCTCAGGGGTTCAGTCTCAGCACTCTGAGGCCGCCACTGCCTTAGATCTCTGGCCAGGGGCCCCCAGGGCGCAGCAGCCCCCTCCTGTCTCCTGTTGTCCCCTCAGCAGTGGATTTCAGTGGATCCGCCTGTTCTGCTCCCCACTGTCTCTGGTGGATCCTCTCACCCCCACATTTGGCCTGCACCCCACTTCTTGTGTGCACAAATCAACAAAATAAACCTTAAAAAAAAACCAGAGGTGTGATGACAGGAGGTGAGCATCAGAGCTGCCTCTCTCTGGTGGGCATTTCACCTCTGGCTTTGATCAGATTAGCCAGCTGATCCCATCAAGGGAATGAGGCCACGAAGAATCCAGGAGGACCCCAGGAAGCTTTCCTTCCCCTAATCCATTCATGAAGATCAGCAGCCTTGATCCAGGTGATTTTACGGTGACTGGCTTTTCTCAGGTCACCTCTGCTGGGGTTCTTGCACCCTCGGGGGGGCCCGAGGCCAGGCCTTGTCTGGCTCCCTTGCCGTCCACCCCTCCTAGGGTGACCCGATCCCCCCTTGTGTTCGTGCCCCAGAACTCTCCCCAGCTAGCCTCCCCACAAGCTCCTTCCAGCTCACCCCAGGCTCTCCACCCAGCGGGGACACAGCCAGGTTCAGACCTTGGAGTTCAAGGCCAGACTTCTGGGCCAACTGGGAGGCAGCCAGGGACCCAGCAAATCACTCGGCTGGTCCCCATCTGCCTCCAGGTGAGGAGAGATCAGAGGCGCTCAGCCCAGCCGACACCCCGCAAGCGCCCAGCCAAGCGGCCCGGGCACCACCACCGCCACGAACGGGCCATGGGGAGCAGAGTGCGGGCAGCCGCCAGGTCTGTCTCCCGGCGGGAGGACAGGAGGCCCCAGCCTGGACCCGGCACCACCCACCTCATCCCGGGACCCTCCGCCCGCAGAGAAGCCGGCTAGAATGGGAGCTCGCGCCGCGCCGCCGCTGCCCCAACTCACCTCCTAGAAGGGCGACCGGAGGCCTCGCCGGCTCCCCGCGGGCCGCGGCCTTTAAGCGCCCGGTGATGGGCTTAAGCCCCGCAGGGGCTGCGCCGGTGGGTGGAGCTGGGCAGGC